TTATCATATTGAAAAGTTACTTTCAAGTTATTTGCAGAAATTGGAGTTTTATTTGTGTAAGACTTTTGCTGATTTTTTTTTTCTAGTAGAATTAGAAAAAGAATTCTCTTCTTCCCTGCCCACCATTTTTTAATTTTTTTAATTTTATTTTGGTTAGTGATTTGATTGCCTGTACAAGTGTTTCAAATTATAATAATGAATGTATTTTTTTTTTTTGCTATTTTGCTATATTTTCTTTTTTTCTTTTTTTCATTCTTTTTTTCATTCTTTTTTTTCATTCTTTTTTTTCTTTCTGTTTTTTCTTTTTTTTTTTTTTTTTTTTTCATTCTTTTTTTCTTTTTTTTTTTTCATTTTTTCTTTTTTTTTTTTCTTTCTGTTTTTTTCTTTTTCTTTGTTTTTTTTCATTCTGTTTTTTTTCATTTTTTCTGTTTTTTTTCTTTTTTCTTTCTGTTTTTTTTCTTTCTGTTTTTTTTTCTTTTTTCTTTCTTTTTTCTTTCTGTTTTTTTTTTTTCTTTCTGTTTTTTTTTCTTTTTTCTTTCTGTTTTTTTTCTTTTTTCTTTCTGTTTTTTTCTTTCTGTTTTTTCTTTCTGTTTTTTCTTTCTGTTTTTTCTTTCTGTTTTTTCTTTCTGTTTTTTCTTTCTGTTTTTTCTTTCTGTTTTTTCTTTCTGTTTTTTCTTTCTGTTTTTTATTTGACAACTAGTTTTTGGTCTCTAGATTTTTCTATTTTCTACAGAGAAAGAGCTGTTTTTTTTCTTTTTTTTTCCTGTTTTTTCTCTCATTTTTTCTTTCTCCTCTTTCTGTTTTTTCTTTCTGTTTTTTTTTGTTTTTTTTTTTTCTTTTTTTTTCTTAATTTTTTCCCTTTTTCATTCTTTTTTTTTTCATTTTGACAACTATTTTTCTCTTTCCTAGATTTTTTTTGATGTTCATTTTTTTCCTTTCTCATTTATTTTAACCACCTTTTATTTTATGTATTTTTTAATAATCCCTTCCCATATTTATCCTTTCATTACCTCATTTCTCTCTTTCCCCTGTCAGTTTTTTTTTTTTATTTTACATCATTTAATAAACTTATTCTTCTCTTTTTCCCCCTCTCAGTTCTTTTTTTTTTTTATACATTTAATGCTCACACTCTTCGCTACCCACTTATAAGTTTTGATCTTTTTAGCTTTTAACATTAAAAAATGAGTGACCAATCAAAACATCTTTCACACAATGTTTTTTTTGTGCATATATATATATATATTTCTAAAGAAGTGATGGATTTTTATTAATTATTATTTTTAGTGGATACCCATATTTGAGTAGACACTATGTTTATTTATTAAGCACTATATTTATTTATTTTCATCTACTGGCCTGAATATTTGAGAAATCTTATTAAAGAAAAATATGCGCCATCTGGCAGATTCGAACCTGCATCCCCTTGTGCAGGAGAAACCATCATTAGATCTGACATGATCTAGACATCTTGGCCATGAAGTGCATCATAAGTTTGGGAAAGATTTGTGTTTTAAAGGTACTATTCAACTTTGCTTGATCAATGATGCACTTTGTACTTTAGACTTGTTGGCCACAGATCTAATGAAGTTTTATCCTACCCAGAAAGACAAAGTATTGGTATCCACTATAAATAACATTTAAGTAATTTTATATATATATATATATATATATATATATATATATATATATATATATATATATATATATATATATATATTGTGTGTGTTCACTTGTCTCTCCTATATATATAAGATAGAGAATTTGTTTGTTTATCATCCACCACCAAATTCTTTCATGAAGAATCCACTTTCTTATAAGAGAAACTGGTTTTCTCATTAAGAAAAGTAGTATCTACTATCTACCTTTTTCTGATATATGTATTTATCTTTCAACATAAGAGTTACTTTTTGCAACCAATCAGTATAAGACTAAAATTTGTACTTTATTATTAATTTCTTCACAAGAAAAATAATTCTATTTTTTTTTTTTTTTTCATTTTTTATTTTAAATGCAAGGTCACTGAACAGTTTCCCATTCAAATATATTTTCTATTTTTCATAGTATTTTTTTTTATTTTTGCCAACGCAAAGTGATATTGCCACTAAGATGCCAGGGGTTACTGAGAGTGAAAGTGAATGAGGAGACTTTAGTGAGAAGAAAAGACAATAACAGAACAGAATTCAGGAAGACCGAAGATGGCAGTTGGCATTGCATTTAAGCTTTTGAAGAATGTAAGTGGTAGGGAAGCAAGAAACTGGAAGAGTATTCCTCAGGCGAAAAGTGCAAGAAAAGAAACTATTAGAATAGAAGTTACAGTTACATCTAGCTCTAAAAGTAAAGCTATGAGACCTAATTGCCAACCTAGTAGTACACTTAAATTCATGAAGTACAAGGAGGAGAACACATTAGAAAAATTGCCATGAAAAAATACTTATAGAAAGGACAAAGTAAAGCCAGGTCATGGGGGTGGGAATTTGACTGAAGTCGAAAAGCCAGATTGGGACTGATAACATTATAGATCCTATATGGATTTTGTCAGGAATCTTAAGATATATAGTAGGAGCACCAGACCAGATATGGCAGTAATATTCAATGCGTGGACAAATTGTAGATTTATAAACATGCAAAATAGATTTTGGTATGATGGAACCCTTTTTTTTTTTTTTTTTTTTTTTTTTTTTTTTTTTTTTTTTTTTTTTTTTTTTTTTTTTTTTTTCTTTTTTTTTTTTTTTTTTTTTTTTTTTTTTTTTTTTTTTTTTTTTTTTTTTTTTTTCTTTAGGCTTTTAATGTAAAAAAGATTATCTATATTTGGGATCAGTGAAACTCAGTTTCATCATCATGTTTGCCAGGTGCTGTAAGCTTTAGATGTTTGGGTGGTGTAATGGATAATGGCTTGGAATTGTTAATTGGAGAGCCGAGTTCCAATTCCTGTTGTGTTCGTTATATTCACTTGAGAAAGTTATGAATCCACCTCTTCTCTCTCCAGCTTTCTTTCTTCTTATTTTAAACCAACCACAGTCAGGATCATAATCATAGTAAACTCCATGATCCTTTCATTAGCTGCATAATATGTGCTTTGCTAGGGCTACATACAGTTTTTCAATTCAGAGTTATCCTTCTCCTAGATTGGTTGCAACCCAAGGGTATTTGCATGTAAGTGAATGTAATGAACTTGGATGGAATTTGAACTCTGCTCTCCAATTCCTCAATCCAAGCCACGCCACTATCCATTACTTCACTGTGCCTCCACCTTATATCTCTAAACCATTATTACCCTATCCCCTAAATTTTACTATCTAAAAGTATTTTCTGGTTTTAAATAACCTGCAAATGCTTGATAAGCCGTAAAAAACAAAGTGAATCAAATCAATTCATAGACATGTTTTTGAAGCAGGCCTGATATTACTCTCATACAAGCAAGGTGGGTCCTGCCTGGCAGTGAATATCCATTTACTTTTCCACATATGCCTTTCAACATAATGAGACTTTTAAATGATTTGAGGCAAGTTTTTACAAAGCCAAAATGCTCTTCCTGATCTCCACTTCGGACAAAGCACAGTAATGCAAGTACATCAAGTGTTTTTATTGAGACACCATCGCTAGGAAGGTTGCCATTTGAGGTTTGAGCCCCATCCTTGCCTTAATTGCTGATACCTCCTGACGAGTGGACGGAACAATTTCAAAATGGTTCATCTATGAAACTCTAGAGTTGAGGAGCTGAATATTATATATGATGGCCGTTGGCTCATATAAGAAGCTCATCCACTCTTTGATAGGTTTTGTTTTTCATCGAGTGGGGGTGACATGCCACCCTTTTTACCAGCAGAAAAACTGGTGGTGGAGCTGGTTTAGATGCCAACCACCATGCAGTAGGTTGTACAGCATCAGGCTTAAGCCTAGGAATGTATGTGACATTACTTTTCAAAACCAAGAAATTGTTTTGTTGTCATTATAGCCAGCTTTAAGTCTTGCCCTTTTGTCCTGCATGTACAAGTACTTCAGCTAGTACATAAATTAATTTACTTGATGTGAGAAACAAAAAGGGAACTTTATATGAATAAATTTTAAACTTTCTGGTAAAATTTTTTTTTCTTTCTCGTGTTGCAGTTATTGAGATGAAACATAACTTTGTTATATGAAACATTTCTATTGGAAGAGTATTCTCCTGTAATGCAATATAAGACATGTGTTTGCATCTGAGAGAAAAGAAGAGTGTATGTGGAAGTGTCAGAATTCTTGGAGAAGTCTAAAGACGAAGAAGAAAAATTCATTCTTTACTCCTTTTTTTTTTTCTTCTCCTTGCTCCTCTCCTTTCAAGCTGAAAAAGAAAGTAAAAAAAAAAAAAAATACTACAAATCTGAGAACAGGAAGTTATGTTTTTGCTTCCTACTGCCCTCCCTTCCTCTAACCTATTATGCCTCTCACCTATATCACAGCATTCTCCAACTGCCATATGCAGTAAAGGATGCTAATGTTGGTTTAGACCTCTATCAAGTTACTTTTTTTAAGTTGTAGTTTTGTAATAGTTATCTCCCCTATCTGACCTCTTCACTTCATCTGACTTAGATTTTGCCAAATACAAAGGAAGCCCTTTATTGTGATCACTTTGAGACACAGTCTTTTAGATAACAATAACTGGCTGATTATATTAAGGAAAGGAAATAAAAATTGGAAACCATTTACATTCATAGTTATAAATTGTTATATGATTAAATAACCAATAAGGAGTTTTTTTGTTTTTTTTTTTGATGGTTTGATTTTTTCTATGGCTTATTAACCCTTTGCAGTTTATTTTAAGCCAGAAAATATTTTTAGATCGTATTTTTTTAATTTTTTGAGATAATAATAATTTAGTGATATGAATCTTACTAATTAAGTTATAGCTGGAGGGAGGAGAGGTCGATTCATACCTTTCTCAAGGGTATTTGTGCATGTGAATATAATGATCATAATCGGAATTGGAACTTTGCTAAGACATTATCACTTACACCACCAAGCTTGTGTTATTCCCAAGTGGTCACCCTTCTAGGTACTGACCAGGCTCACTGTTGCTTAACTTCAGTGATCGTACAGGAACTGGTGTTTCAACATGATATGTCTGTAAGCTGCAACAAGTTGGGAAACTTCTATAAATTTAACCTGCTTCGTTATGTATTTAACTTTATCAGAAATTTTGGAAGTGTAATAATCTGGATTTGTATCAATTCTATGTTTTCTTTTCATACATTATGTAGACATCACAAGTTAATTTTTTTTAGCGTTATTGTGTATGAATCGGTTTTGTTGTGTGGCCATGTATACTCTATAACATCTGTGTGTATGTGTGTGCTTTAATCCTTGAAATGTTAGCAGAATTTAATTGTTTTAAAAATCTTGTTTATTAGTGTATTGTTAACTGCATAATAAATAGGACAAATTTTGGAAGTGAATGTGTAATAATAAGTTACATCATTTGTAATTATTTGGTTCCTACATTCTTTAAGTCTAATTTTTATGAATATTGATATGAAGAAGTGTTTTGTGGGGATTTATTGTATACTGATTATCTATTAATCATCATCAGATTTATCCCTTGTTCTCTGTTTAGGATTCAGTCAATTATGTGCCATGCATGATACACGCTTAGGCAATCATGTATCTTTTGATACATGACTGATGAGGCAGATTTTTCCCACATTAGATTGCCATTTCTTTCTGCGGGAGACAAGTTGCCATCCTAGGCTATAGAACCTGGTCTGTCTTGCTATTTACCCATAGCTAGAGGGAAAAGAAGAGGATTCATACTTTTCCCAAGAGCATTAGCATGTAAGTGAATGTAATGGATTTGACTGGAATTTGAACTCGGCTCTCTAATTCCTCAATCTGAGCTGCTATCCATTACTCCACCGTGCATCCTGTTTAGGATTAGTATAATAAATTATGTATAATAAATAGGACAAATGTTGGAAGTGAATGTGTAATACTAGGTTACATCATCTGTACATGTTTGTATTTTAAAAAATAAATATAGAATTTATTGATTATTTGCATTTACACTCTGACGATTCTCATTTTACTATAATGTTTCAGCTATTCTACCTTTCAGCCTTCTTCAGGTGTCTGCTGGTAGTTTTCAGTTAGTTTTGAACTGAACCTTTTATTTAATCTATGGAGATATCGTTCTTGTTCTACTGACCATATCTAAGGATATCTCGTCTAGTATGTCAGTACTACTCAGTTATTGTCCTGTTTCCACTGAGTCTGTTTGCACTACCTGGGATTGAACTCCCAATTATGTCACTTGAAATTAGTATTTATTTGACTTAAAACTTTATAATGTATTTGCTACTGATTGGTTTTCATAACATTATCTGTGGTTAGAATAAATGATTTCCTCTGCAACTGGATTAGGGGAAAAAAAAATGAAATGTTTTTCATTGAATTTATTTACTATCTGATTGCAAAATAACTGATTTATTTTTTTATGGCCTATCAACCCATTGCAGGTTATTTAAACCCAGAAAATATTTTTAAATTGTAAGAATGTTTTGAAGATAATGATTTACTGATACTAATCCTACTAATTAACCCATAACTGGGGGAGACAAGGTGGATTCATACCTCTCCTAAGAATACATGCACCTAAGTGAATATAATGAACCTCACTAGATTTGTAACTTGGCTCTCCAATTTCCAATTCTGAGTCATTATTCATTACAATGCTTCTTCTCCTGAACCATTGCTCTGTGGAACAGACTCCCAAGAAAATGTTTCCCTGATCACTACAATCTGAACCTGTTCAACTCTAGAGTTAACCATTATCTTCCTCTCCTACCCATATAAACTACCCCTAACATAACCTTCTACCTCTGGGTCTTGTACAGGGTGAACCTTATGTAAAAAAAAAGGAAAAAAAAAAAGAAGGAAAGCTCACTCATTTAGATATTGGCCAGGCTCAGTGTTGCTTAACTTCAGTGATCCTACAGAAAATAACTAAATAACTCCGATTTTATTTTGTCAATTGATTTTATTTTGATGCCACATATTTTCGAATTCTCTTTGTCAATTTTACTCTGATAATTCATGTGTGTTAGTCATTGATTTCATTTTGAAAGATGATATTAGTCATTGATAATATGAGTATTTGTCTTTCGTTGGAATGAGCAAAAAAGATATTGAACAGGACGAAGCTTAACAAGCAGCTATCAGCAAATATTCTTTCATTGATGCTAGCAGCTGACTCCATCATCAGAGCAAGCCAAATTGAAAATTTGCTCAACAAGTAGAAGCTAATTATTAGTTGCCATTTTTTTATACTGTAGCTTTCTATTACAACCTGTTGGATTGATAGTCTCTTAAATCGGTAAATGGCACAGAATTGGGAATAGATGGCCTCTGATGAGACTTGAAATTTCATCCCTCACCTCAGAACTCTGAGCTACAAAAGTTTGATTATTAATTTTAATGTGTCTTTTCTATAAATACCTTCATGGTAATTGTTTGGATGAGCTCTTTGCTATGGTACCTAAACTTTTTGAATTTAAGTGCAGTAGTAAACTGGTGTCAAGATCTCATCGATTTGCAGTTGATCTGGGTAGATGTAACTGTAAATTCTATGCTAACAGTTTATTTTCTTGCACTTCTCGCTTGTGGAACTCCCTTCTGGCTCCATGCTTTCCAGCTAACTTTAATCTGCAAAAATTTAAATGCAATATCAGTCTCTATCTACTGTCCTCTTGATTACTCTTCCCACTTACTGTTCATGTGAATGTCAGTGTGTCACACTTTTTCAACTTTACTCCTAGAAGCTGTAGCCCAACATATACCATTTTGGAATCAGGCTGACTCCACGAGGAAATTAAAAACATTCCAGGCCAGATCTGGACCCACAATCCTGAAATTTTGGATTCCCAAATTTTCATTACTGCAATTGTCTTTGACAAATTTTGTATTTTTTTCATTTTTAAATTTTTATAAAATTTTTATTTATTTTATTTTTATTATGTCATTTTTTGCAACAAATTTTTTGTATGATAATAATTTTTATAACTAGGAAATAAATTTGGGAATAATCAAAAGTAATTGCAAAATCCAGCAAAAGTCAATCATGAAATATAAATAATTGTTTCTATAGAAAGTAAGGACCTACGTACATCAAATTGTCTTTAAATTAAGTGGCAACAGAAGAATTATTGTTGAACTTTAAAAAGGTAAGCTTAAATATTAATGCAATACTTAAATGCAGCGATCAATTTTGAGTTCTTTTGTAGTTTATTGTTGCCTATCACATCTACTCTTCCTTGCCTATTGAGATGAAGGCCCAATCAAGAGTCCTCTGCAGGAGCTAGCCTAAATGTCCCCAATAGGGTGGTTTTTAAGCTAGTTATTAATATTTCTATTTCTAATTCTTCAACACTCTGCAACCCCTTGTGTCAGTGGCTTTTATTGTCTTGCATGAGGTGATACTGATTTAAAAGAAAAAAATTTCAAAAAGCAAACCTATAAAAATTCTGTCATGCCCCACCCCCTTTCTAATTCTTTAGGTTGTTTTGTTGGACTACAAAATGATAATAAACAGCTATAAACCAGAGAAAATATATATTTTCTATTCAGCCCAGCATGCTTTATCTTGGTTGTTATACTTGAGTTTCGGTCATATTATACCCTCTAGCCTTCTTCAGGTTGTTGGAATTTTTGGGTACCCTTGTGTATTAGTGAGCCAGCCAAAATGAGCTGACTCATTTTATAGTTCACCAATAGAAGGGTTAACCAATTAGAAGGCTCAAAATATTCAATGCGATGTGTATAAGGGCGGCCATGTTTTTTTCTGAATACTCACTGCCAGCCTTTGATATCGAAGACTGAAGAATTACGGCACAGCTGCTGGTGGTATTAGCGATATAGTCAGATTCAGTAGAGTGTCTGACTCGTGAGTGTTAATCTTTAATGTTGTTTCATTGAACAGATTACGTACTGCGCATTATTCTATAGTTATAGACTATGGTGAACATGGTCAACACAGGTGTCTGCCTTCATGCTCAGTAACCATCTTGGAATTTTGAACTGAACTCTTTATCCAATCCATTGTTCTCATTCCCGTTTCACCTCAGTTAATATACGTCAGCCGTGTTCACCTTTGGTTGCTTGTCGGTTTCTTTTCTGGTAGTTGTGAGTTCAATCCCTGGGTTTGGTTGTGCTGAAAAAGCCACTGGTTCAGTGGAAGAAATGGACAAGTGTTGTGTGTGACAAAAGAAAGAAGATAAAGAAAAGCAAATAGAATGACAGGAAGACCAACTAAATTTTATAGTAAATAAAAAAAGATTTATTTTAATTTTAGTGATTTTGGTCAGTAGCTAAAAAGGCAAAAAAAACAAAAAAAAAAAACTCAAAAAACATAAAAGGCTTACCAGCAATAAGTTAGAAATAACTTCATTTGATAATTGCTGGCTTTTGTCACATGGTATAGTTTACTTGACTTTACGAATGGTAGTAAACGGACTGCTCTGAAGCAGATTTCTGCAACAACTGGCTTCACCAGCTAACTTGCTTAATTTTTGGCAACAACCAACAAATGCGAATACTTGGATTAAAACCTCCACTTTGTAAGGTCATCTGATGACATCAAAAAGTTCTTTGAAGTCTTTGATCTAAATGACCCAGAACACAGAAGTTTCATTTGTAAAAATAGATTCGCTTAACACAAGTGAATCACATAGGTGAAATTATCTTAGATATGAGTTATCTCCCCTAAGCAGGGAAAGCAGAATGAGAACAATCTACTCCTTGGATTAAATAAGGGTTCAGGTTGAAATTCCAAAAGGTTACTGAGTACGATGGTAGACACATGAAGAATGCTGAAAAGTGTATTGATGATGTAGGCTTCATGAATTTAAGCACAGTACTTGATTGGAAATAAGGTCTCATTAATTTACAGTTGAATTGGTTTGATCTAACTGTAAGTTCTATACTAACAGTTTATTTACTTGCACTTTTTCTTTGTGGAACTCCCTTCTGGCTTCATGTTTTCCAGCCAACTTTGTATTTAAATTTTTGATCGTTATCTACTGTCAATTGTTATCTACTGTCTTCTTGATTACTTTTATTTTATTGTTCTCTCTC